CTTGTAAACACGTTCTACATGGATGTCCTTATTGAAGCACTAATGATTTAATGCTAGAAAAATACCTGTAAGTGACAAAAAAGAAGACACAATCATGTGGTAGAAAAAAAGTCCGTCAACAATACTAAAGACATATTAATTGTTTTATATCAATTGTTTGTTCGTTTATAACACCCCTAGAAAACAAGATGATAGCGGATATGCAGACGACAGGAAATGAGACGCTGAATCCAGACGCACTGTTACACAAGTCGGACGTACACGAACATGCTTGAGCACCGTCTTTTTCTTCACACGTGTCCCTCCACTGATAAGTGAACAGCTCTTGCCACAAACTGTTTAATGTAAAAATGTATTGAAAGGATACGTTTATAAATTGAAAAGTCTGACATACAAAAATTTTAAAAATAGTTCATTTATTCAAACACGATCATCTGAGAAAGAAAAGGTGTTTGTGATAGGTATGATTGTCGTTTTAGCACACTTTATGTTTGTATTACAGTTTACAGCAAATGACGTACGGACATCCATCTTAATCATGTTCTTGTACACAATTATGAAAATACCTGTTAGTTAGCTATTGATACTTGTGTTTGTTATTATACATAGTTAATTCATCACTTACTTACTTAAACGCTGTAGAACGTGGAAATTTTGTTAATATCTAACTAGATTTTATTAAAACACTAAAATGCCTTTTTTAAAAATGAAAAATGGATGCTCATTCCCCTTCTTTCTCCGGTTCCTACTGGGTAATACTTACATGACAAAGAAAAAATAAGAAGAATAGCTCATTTCCAAATTGTACACATAAAGTACCTCGTTGTTACAAAAAATAATATAATAAAATCAATACTGTCACAATGTTTGGAAGCTAATATGTAAATTATGTCAGCTGATATACTCGTAACATAATACTGTAATAACGAAGAGTGACCGTTGTATAGAATGTATACAATATAGAAATTATTTTAACAATTATTAACAATTTATCAAAATCTCCATTTATATTAACAAGAGCTGTAATCATCGCAATTAACAAAGAGCCAAAGTAAATTTGACCATATTGCTTAAATTTACTGACAATACTAAATAGACTCATTATTGTAGTTAGTAATAAACAGATTGATTAACCTACACCTTTTAAGGCACGTGATTGGAGAAAGGGAGAAAGGGAAAAAAGCAATACAAAAACTGTGTTCTATCAATTCAATTTCTTCCACGAGATGGTTCTGTGTGCCTTGATGCATGTAACAGCGTTATTCACAACATTTGACAGAAATTTCACATAATTAGTTGTTTTTTTTTAAAGACACATGTGGTGTAATATTGTTTGCATCGTACGCACTAAAGAAATTAAATGATTTTCTATCGCCAATTGTCTAAATTCGATAGACCTAGTGCTGCATTACACACACACACTTGCCCACATTTGTGGGCTAATGGCGCCAAAGCATTTGATCACGCTTAATAAACCTTTTAAGTCTTGTAGGAAAAAATAACTTTAAATTTTTGAATCTTTGTGTAAAAGAAAATAAAGTCTAAAACGGCAAAATTGAATATGTTTAGTCGTTGGGATAAATCTCTGTAACATTTCCTATTTCGCTGTTTCAAGTGTTCTTTGCAGATTCCGTTTCTCTCCTTTTTAGTATTGAAACATAATGTCACATTCATGTTTAAGTGTTAGGAGTTACTGAGAGTTGGCGAGAGGGGAGCAGGAAAGTTAAAGTATGTGACCTCAAAATAGCTATGGTATTTATCCATTCAAACATTTTTGGTTAATATGTAAAGCACTGATTTTCTCTAATGTGACGATTGCAGGGTTTCGAAAGGAGAGAACATATATAAGTCAATAAATTAATGATGAATATTTTCTGTCATAATTAGTAAAATAAACATAAAATATCTACAATACATATTTGAATCATTAACGTAAAAGCCGATCTCTTAGTTTGGAATATTTTGTAATCGATACATTGATCTTGCCTTAATATTTTTAGGAGTGTGTTCGACATAGTGGTGTTATCAAATCTATTTTATGCCAAGAATTCATAAAGGAACGTGTTTAGTTTAATATGTAACCGAAACAACAACCAGAACTTAAAATCCATCGATCGTTTAATATATGTAAAGTTGTGATATGCCTGCACCTGACTAAAAGTATTTGCTATTTTGAAAACTTGGAATTTCGATCTTCAAACTAGCTTGAAAATCAACTTCAAAAACTATTAATTTTCCATTTCAATTTTTAAAAGAATTTTATGTTTTGATCTTTCAGATGGTTTAGCTGGTTCGAAAATACCAAAAAAAAATCAGCTAATGAAAATCTTGAATTTCGATCTTCGATAACGTTTTTTAACATTGCTACATTTATGGCTTTTTAATTTTGATTTTCAAGCTAATTCAAAGTTCAAAGTAAACTTGATTTTGATTAATATCGTTCTTAAGTGGCTCGAAGTTCACAACTTCCTCGGAATTTGATATGTATTGGATTTCGGTTTCCGATCATCGATATCAGTGCTAAAACCTCGATACTTTAAAATTTCCATCTTGATATGGTGATCATAATTACAAAAATCGAGCATTCATTATATGACAACAACAATCAATCAATAAAAATAAAAAGGGAGAGTGACATTTCCTTAACGCAGCCCCAACAACACCCATATACACAGGAACATTGGTATGGACCCAGCAGGGAAAGAAACAAGAAAGAGGGCACAAAAACATTTTCTTTTATTGATGCACACTATAATGTAAAAATTGATCTTGTTGGTTCCAAACTTAAAAACATTACTGAATTGAAATATGATAGTCTAGGTATCGTACATTGTAAACACGTTCTACATGGATGTCCTTATTGAAGCACTAATGATTTAATGCTAGAAAATACCTGTAAGTGACAAAAAAGAAGACACAATCATGTGGTAGAAAAAAAGTCCGTCAACAATACTAAAGACATATTAATTGTTTTATATCAATTGTTTGTTCGTTTATAACACCCCTAGAAACAAGATGATAGCGGATATGCAGACGACAGGAAATGAGACGCTGAATCCAGACGCACTGTTACACAAGTCGGACGTACACGAACATGCTTGAGCACCGTCTTTTTCTTCACACGTGTCGCCTCCACTGATAAGTGAACAGGCTCTTGCCACAACTGTTTAATGTAAAAATGTATTGAAAGGATACGTTTATAAATTGAAAAGTCTGACATACAAAAATTTTAATAGTTCATTTATTCAAACACGATCATCTGAGAAAGAAAAGGTGTTTGTGATAGGTATGATTGTCGTTTTAGCACACTTTATGTTTGTATTACAGTTTACAGCAAATGACGTACGGACATCCATCTTAATCATGTTCTTGTACACAATTATGAAAATACCTGTTAGTTAGCTATTGATACTTGTGTTTGTTATTATACATAGTTAATTCATCACTTACCATCACCAACTTTGCCCTTTACACATGATCCCGAGCATGTAACCGTTGAAGCTTCGCCTTCGTCGAAAGGGTCGTTACATGCTGTACATTGGTAACATTTTAAAGACTGCACGCTAATCACTGAAAATAAAGAAGAAAAATCTTTATTAAAGAAATAATCGATCGTGATCAAGCTGTTTTAACGTGGTTAATTTTGGCTTTAATAAAGAAAATTTGCTTCACTGATTTTATCAATGCTTAGTTATAACACCGCGCAAGGGTTTATCAATGTTATCTGGTTGATGCCATGAAAAGCAAATTAGTGCTGTCGAACTCGTATCTAGGGAATTAGGAAGCGACAAGAGGTATATTATCTTACCTAGCAAATATGGTTTACACCCGGAAAATGATATTTTTTCCAATGAACATACACGAAATATATAAATAGATAAATAAATAACAAATAAATAAATTGAGAAAAATACAATAAAATTACTATCTCCCGCTTAAAAAATAAATTAAAATAATTAAATAAAAATTAAAGTAAATACACGTTTTATATTTACTTTCAAAAATTACTGATTCTGAAAGACTGTTATTGACGAAATAGAAGAATTCGTTTAACACCTCGCTTAAGGGCTGCCAGGATTTTTGAAATTATAAATTTAAAAAAAAAAATGGTTCATGTAAACGAAGTACTTGAACGTGTTTTTCCTTTTTAAACCAATAGATTATTGAAAAATGAAAGACATTAAAATAGAATGTGCAGACGTTGAACTGTTTAACAAAGATATTTTTTTTTCCTTTTTGTGTCTTCAAAGTTAGAAACATTGTCAAATTATTGACGCTGGATAAACTTTATATATTTATCAATATCTATTATATCATAAAATTAATGTATATTAAATGTACTCACCAGTAACAAGAAAAATCAAAATGCCAAACAAAAATGTATTTGCGCTGTTCATATTGAAATGATAAATTACTCGTTGTTGAAACCCTTCTTCAACGCTGCCCAGACCTCAACTGAACCAAACCTTGATGTCAATAATATCGCACTACTTTTTTGATGTTGGCGGTTAACTGCCTGTTAAGAATATGTCGACATGAAACTATCATTTAAAGCGGGAATGTTCATGTTGTTGTAGGATACCGAAAAAAAAATGGTTATCTTTGTCTGTAGTAGCTTATTTTAGTTATTTTCTAAATCTGACATAAACATGAACACGAACTTGCATTATGCAAAGATTTATAATCAATCAATCAATCGATCGATCGATCAACCAACCAACCAATTCATCAATCTGTCATTCAGTCAATTTGTTTATTAATTATTTAATAAGTCCATAAATTCACCAATTAATTAATATATCAATCAATCAGTTTATAAATCCCTCAATTAAATCATCAATCAATTAATTAAGCAATTGTGTCAATTAATTAATTATTAATTAATTAATAATTAAACAATCGGATTGTTATACCAATTAATCAAAATATCAATCAATTTATATCACAGTACACATCTTTGTAGAAAAAGTACTTTCATATTATTAATTTTAATTTTGCATGGATAAAGTGAGTTACTGAACAGTCAAACAGCCTTTTCAATAACTTCATTAATTTAAAATCTATAAATAAATTGTGGAGGTTTTCTTATAAAAATGGACATCGTTGCATTATTTTTCTAATTAATTATATAAATCATGTTTAATTTTTTGTGATCAAGTTAAAGTGTTTTATAATTAGGACGCGTAGTTATATATCGCGGTTTCTCAACAAACAACCGGACTATATTATTACCATCGTCAAAGATTGATTTAAAACCACTTTCGAAAAATGCATCCCATGAAATAAAAGAGATTATAATATTTGCTAAAGACACCATCAAACCCTTTTAAATGATTTATTGGTTGAATACAAATATAGATAAATAAAAAAAATGCAATTTTTTGAAAATGTTTCACTTTGATGTTTTTTAATAAACAGCCAATCAATACTGAAATGCAGATAAGGTAAGACATGTGACAAACATTCATAAATTATGCTCAAGTTGCACTTTGTTTAATCATTATACTCAAAATACTTGAACGTACTGATGGAAAGCTATTGTATATATTTTGGAAGCGATTTTTTAAAAAATATAAATAGCCGATATGTCGCTATTATTTGCAAATTCATTTTGACCAATTAGAAGTTCTTACTTTCCCGGCATTTAATAAAAGACCTCTCGCATGATTCTTTTTAAAGAAGCAAACTTGTATAGTGGTAGAGGTCATTGTGATTTTTGAGCAAACGAAAGCGAAAAAATAATTTAAGTCGCATTTGTAGTGACATGTTATATACATTTCCATTACATTTTCTGTAAACACTTCGCGATGACGTAGAGATCGTGTTTTATAACACTAAAAATATTTTAAAAAATGATATCTAAATAGAAATATCAAATAAGATTGATTTTTTTATCAATCCTTTGTCTGCTGAATTTGTGCAATTCGTTTGCCCTATTTCAAAAAAATTCGGAGCAGTCTATTCAAAGTTTAAGGAATTTCAAAACTTTGCAAACTGTGCTACCAACGGTATGGAGATTGGTCAGAGTGCACATACATTTTTTCCCGGACGAAAGCTGATTGCTTTAGGTTTGTTAAAACTCGATAAGTTATTGTTCATTATGTATAAACAGGACCATGTGGTGATGTTTTTGGTAGGTTTCACTCTGGATCACGGCAGCAAGCCACATTAAATTCACCAGAGCTGAGTGTGCGTTCTTTATGAATTTCGTTTTTCTCTATTCTATTACGTTAACAAATGTTTGTTTGCTATTCGCGTTACTTTATTATCTGCCCTCTTAATATTTGTTTCCTTACGAAGTGAATAGCTGTTTTAATTTCTAAGAAAATGGATCTTAATAAAAAGGTTAACGAACGCCGACTAGAGCGTCATGACAATAGCTCCACTCCTTTCTTTGAAAAGTGGAGCTAAATCCCACTCTTTTCTTGGAAAAGAAGGACAACAATGACAAAAGTAAACATTATCAGCCTCTGTTTGTCTCATTTTATAGCAACGTCTATGTTATTTTTGCTGTGTGGAAACCGTAAAAAGTCGCCCAGTATATATATAATCAAATATATTATATTTTCGATCCTTGAAGATCGTTTCATTGTTGTTGTGTGTACATGATACTGTTATCTCTGCTTCTTTTCATTTGACATTTTTCTACTTCGGTGGTTCCAGTATTCCTACATGAATGCTGTATAATCTCCCTTAGAAAATAGTGTATTCTTTTTTAATCTGTCTTCGGACGTTTTATCTGTGATATGCAGGCTTCATAATATCTGACCCCCTTTCAAAAATTCCAGTTTGTTTAGTTTCACCCATTGTTTTCTCGTTTAGGACAAATGTATTTTTCTACTTTGAGACCATACGATGTTTTTTCGTGGAATGGAACTAACGTGTCACAGTGAAGGTTCCATGATGACCGCCGTATAAAAAATCGTATAAAAAATTTGCGGATGTTCCATGATGACCGCCGTATAAAAAATCTGCGAATGTTTCTACAGTCAAATTGCATTATGTTTAAATGTTGAATTCTGCTTCAGTCGGTGCTAGCGTGCCTGGACAGTAGCTTGCAATTACAAGTATGGTTTATGAACAGACTTAATCAATTGAGACTGCAACATTTCTATTTTTGTTTGGACGTTATTAAGGGATGCCACGACAAAGTTTCTTGATATCTGAAAAGCTACAGACGACATAAAGAAAGCTCATACCGACATTTGCCCTTGTGTCCCCTGTTTTTGTTTTGTTTCCTGCTGGGATCCTTGAAGGTCGTCATGTGTTGGTTCGTTTCTGTTGGGGTATGCGTTCATTGATTGATGCCCTTCCTTGCTGAACCTTATTTTAATATTAAGCTCACTCTTTATTTTTGTTTGTTTCAAAAGTACAGAAGTGTCCGTAAACGTTACAAGATCATCGTCATAATAAACAACATAATATTATAATTAAGTAATTATTTGAAAGTTTCAAAACATTCATTATTCAATTTAACTATTTGGTTGCGTGAAAGAATATCAAAATTAAAGCAAATACGTGCATATTAATAACATTACTGTGACTCTTTACGTGTATCTTTAAATCTTTAAATACTTTTATGACTTTTAGTTACCGGTCGAGATCGTACCGAAAGAAGTCCATATAAATATTCCTTTGCGGAAGAATTTTTAACCGAAATCAATAATTGAGAAAAGCAAAACATGTTGATTCGTGCGAAGGTCAAAGATAACATACATTTTGGTAGATTAAAAGCAGCAGGACATGGGAAATTATTGATAAAATACACTACCATAACACTTAAAAAATATTCTTTGTTATGTAAAAAAGAATGCTCCACTCTTTTAGTCCTGCTCAGGTCTGTCGCATTTCTGTTAATACTTTGATCCTATGTGGCTAGATGCTTATAAACTGTTTTGCCCTGCGTAATATTTTAAATTCATAATGTCTCCATTTTCAGTTTTGATTTGTTGAAATTGTCAATACTAGGACATAAAAAAAATCGACAAGGAAATTTAAAAAAAAAGATAAATCAATAAGTCTACAAAAGTTAAGGGGTGTAGGGGAAGGGGATTTGATGGTCGTGGAAAGCGGGGTCAATATTAAAAAAAAAAACTAGGGGCGAAGGAAAGATACTTACACGCACACTGGATCTTGCATTTTTCAATTTTGTCATTGAACAGGCTCACGCTAACGGATTCTGCAGCATTCCAGTAGGGCACCGTGATCTTCCATTTGATTTCATCAATAAAAAAAGATAAATAAACATGGTTTGTTTGCTTTTACGGCGCACTTACGCAGTTTATGTGATATGGCGTCAAAATGGAAAAGACGATTTTGGCTGGCCTCGGGTGTTGTAAACTTCAAATCAATAAACAATTGTTGATCGCTTAAAGTTAAAAATGATTTCACTGCATGTTTTTTTTTCTTTATGTACATAAACGATCAATTCCGGAGGGGTATCTGTAATCAAGCAATCCATAGACATGATTGAGAATAATCAAATTCTTAATTAAGCTATCAAAATACATAATTTAGAATAAGTTATTCTATAATCAAGCAATTCAAAGACTTGATATCGAACAATTAATTACTAGTTTGGTGTCCCTTCTTCCAACTTGAGGGCCTCTCCTAGCCGGTTATTTCTTCAAGATGAGTATTTGCAAGACTTTTTGTTCAGACTGATAAAGGGCAATGTTCAGAGCCCATTTAAAATGAAAACATAATACAATTACTGTGACCTGATTTATGCAGCTATTTAATCTTACGATAAATGTCCGCTTATATACTTTCGATATTCATTTTCCGAAAATGCATAGCTATAATCATCATTTTTTTCTTCATAAAAACAATTATAATATTTAACTGTCTAAATTTGCCTCCCAGACAATAAAGATATTTAAACCCACTGACCTCTAAGATTCCTTTATGTTCATGCACGCAAGAACGTGTGCACGCACACAAGCATAGACACACCACAACGGTCTGGGATTTTCGATTCTTTTTATTTTGTCAATGATTATATTTTTTTAAAGGGGAGCTGAAGTTCGCAAAGTGTGTTATTTAAGAAAATATTACACTGTTACAAAAATTAGAGTTACACTCATGAAATGCAGTCCTACGCAGTTTTCGGACACAACAAGAAGGGGGAAAAATGAAAAAAACAAAGATAAATAAAAATTAATTAATTAATCAATCAATTAATAAACCAATTAATTAATTACGTCTTGTAATGAAACGACAATTAAAAAATGTTTCGCTGTATATACAGATTTTGAATGTATGTTCGTTTCCTCAGGACTGAAAAGTGTTTATTCATTTATAATATGCATCACAACGCGTGCCTATAATAGAATGCCAATACATGCCAAATTGTGCAATATATTTGAACAGTTTAAAACATGATTCGGCCTGGTATTTAATTTAGCGAAAATTCAGTTATTGTTATATATCAAGATGAGTTAGCAGGCCAGAATGATAAGGGTAAACCTAAGAGCCCTTTGTAAATTGGGAAAAAGATTAAAATC